TATATATATATATATATATATATATATATATATATATATTCTGTTTATACACGTTTTTATAATACGCACCCCTACTATCAACTGTCATTTACAGTAAAAAAATGCGTAATTTTGAGAAATTACGGTATTTATATTAATTTTACCTTTTTATTTATTTCATTTTTTTAATACTAATATTATATATGCTGACATTATAATGACCATGTCGATTCTTTTAATTAAAATTAATTGTATATATATATATATATATATATATATATATATATATATATATATATATATATATATTTTAATCATATATATATATATATATATATATATATATATATATATATATATATATATACCACTGTTTGTAACAGCAAAATTGTCCAATTGTTAGATTAAGCTTTCAACCGTTGTATCTTAGAAATGATTAAAGATATCTTACTGGAATTCTCCGAGATTTCTGTGTGTATGTATGTGTGTGTGTATGTCTGTGTGTATATGTGTCTGCATTGGCGGTCTGAGCGCTTATCATCGCCCGTTTGGTTTGCTTACAAATTTTCAATCATTTCACCGATTCTGCTGCATGAAGAAATGACGATTCCTCTCTTTTGACAGATAGAGAAATAAATATGAAGAGACTGAAATAAACAGATAGATAGATAGATAGATAGATAGGAAAAGGCAGAGATATGTAGATATATAGATAGATATGAAAATATATATATATATATATATATATATAAATCTATCTATCTATCTATGTATATATATATATATATATATATCTATATCTATATATATATATATATAGCATAATGAGAAGCCACGTATACTTTCTTAATATGTATATATAGAAAAAGTTTCAAATTAAAAAATAATAATGTTTTATTTTATGAAAGTATTTATTTATTTATATATATATTTGATATTTCAAATTGTCCTCAATTTTTCATCAGAAATAACTGATGGTAAAAATAAATTAAAATTACTGTTTGTTAGCAAGTAGCGTCCTTCGCGAGACGTGGACGTCACGTGATATGGAACGTCGCTGTTCCGATATTAAATCTAACGGTCAAATATTTTAAATGCTTTTTATTTAAAAATTATAACATATGTAAATTAAATTTAAATGCGAAATATCAAATATATATATAAATAAATAAATACTTTCATAAAATAAAACATTATTATTTTTTAATTTGAAACTTTTTCTCTCTCTCTCTCTATATAGATAGATAGATAGATAGATAGATAGATACTAAATTGTTACGTATGCAAATGTGATACTTATGAATTATGTGTGAAAGAATGGTTTGGGAGGAAATGATTAAAGAAGAAGAAGAAGATAAAGGAGGAGGAGGAGGAGGGGAAGAAGAAGAAGAACAAGAACAAGATAAAGGAGTAGGAGGAGGAGAAGAAGAAGAAAAAGAAGAATAACAAAAAAAACAAGAACAAAAGATGATGAAGGAGGAGGGGAACAAGAACAAGAACAAGATGAAGTAGAAGGAGGAGGAGGAGAAGAAGAACAAGAACAAGAAAAAGAAGAAGAAGAAGAAGAACAACAACAACAACAAAAACAAGAACAAGAAGATGAATGAGGAGGAGGAAAAGAAGAAGAACAAGAAGAACAAGATGAAGGAGGAGGAGGAAAAGAAGAAGAAGAAGAACAAGATGAAGGAGGAGGAGTAAAAAGCAGAAAAAGAACAAGAACAAGAGGAAGAAGAAGAAATGTTAATAACAAGTTTAACTTGGGAAATAACCACCTTTCTTTGCAAGTTTGAATAAATAAAATGTTGGCTAGAAAATCTTGGCTCACATAGGAAGCGGGAATAAAACACATCAGGATCTCAGTCCGGTGGAACTTCCAAGGAGTACTGCATTTCGAGCTTGTCCCACACGGTCGATCCATTAACGCTAAACTGTACAAATTGCAGCTAGCCCGCATGTACAACAAACTAAAGGTGTGTCCTGCTTTGGTTAATCAAAGTCAGGTTTTGTTTCAGCAAGACAATACGAGGTCACACACTGCCAGCTTGAATGAGGAGAAATTCAAACAGATGGACAGGGTTGAGAATCTTTCACATCCACCATTCAGTCCCGATGCTGCTCCGAGTGACAATGACTTATTCCGATCAATGGCACGCTTCTTCTGCGTCCAGCGATTCATCAGTTATGATGAAGTGAATGAAGCATGTTTAGAGTTTTTGTCTAGTCTCTAGGACAGATTCGGATGCAGGCTGCTCGCTAGCAGAAGATCATCGAGAGTGATGGACTTTATTTTCAAGAATAAATGTTAGTTTTTCACCATAACATTTTGTTTTCTTTCCGCAACATAAGTGAGACAGGGTTTTCTGGACAACTAAATAGAAGTTGATAGGGTTATTGCAAAAAACAAAGACGACAATAAAAGGAAGAATAATTACTTAGAGTAACAAAAGACAGAAAGTTATGGCGAATCATGTTCCCTAGCATCACTGACAGTTCTTGGAAATAGAGGGACAAAGAGAGAGGGAGAGAGAAAGAGAGAGTGAGACAGACAGAGAAACAATTTTTGCTTAGTTCTGCAAATATACACAAGACTTTTAAACTATACAATCTCTGCTTCCTCCTAGCTCTGCAAAGAAACGAAAGACATTCATTCTATACCATCTCTGCTCCCTCCTAGATCTGCAAGAAAACACAAGACTTTTATTCTATTGTGGCACCATTTACCAAGGCAGAAAAAGAAAAGAAAGGAAAAGAGAGGCGAAGACCCAAAGCGTGGATGATAAGCAGAACACCCACGGCTAAGAGACAATGGATAAAGGATATTTTGATAAATAACAAATGGCGAAGAGTGTCATTACAATGAAAAAAAAAAATTCTGAGTGGATAAAGGAATCGGGTGTGTTCTGACGACGGGCTGTGTTATTGGGATACATAAACAAACCGCTAATGCGGGAAGGCATCTGATTGGCAAACCACAGACCGACTAGCCAAAGAAAAATCCAAATGAAAATGTTATTTTGATAAGTGACTAAAAACAGGTGGACTACAGGGCTTTGGATAGATATGAAAAATTAATTGTGTCAAAAGCCGCACGCGAGGTGGCCACTGACCGATTTCTTTCGACAGAACATCTTTAGCCTATGCTATCAGAAATATGTACCAAAAAATGAATGGGAACCTAGAAATGTTCTTTTCGAGGCGACGGTCTGGCCATGTTAAAAAGACCACCCATTCTGATAATTAGCGATAAGATGACTGATGAAGCCCAGGTGAGAACAAGAGTTATGACCACCATCGATCGTATTGTTCTGTTTGCGGCTAGAGAAAATGATAACTGCGATTAAAAAAAAAGAAAAGGAAAAGAAAAAGTTAATTTTTTTTTTTTTTTTTTTGTTAAGCAAGATATTTTTTTCCCTGAAATAAAGCCGCGGGATCGTACACGCTCGACTAGACATCATTGGTCGAGTGGTGATCACGTGACGCAAGGAGGAGGCTGTCGCCGCCCATCTAGAGGATGGGTATGAGAGGTTGCTACGAAGAAGTGGGGAGGGCAGTTCACGCCCCTCTGAAGTATGGTGAGAAGCTGGGAGTAAGAGAAGGCTCCCAAAAAATGGAAAAAAAGTGGAAAATTCCTAACCAGAAATAAAAGAGGTGGATATGTATTTAGAATTATCGAGGACCCCCTGGCGCCGACAAACCCACCCCGGTTTTGGTCGGCGTCCATATAAGCGAAGTCGCAGCGAGCAGAAGTCAGTTGAGTTCGAGACAGTTCCCAGAGTCAGTCTCCAGTTGAAGCAAGCCTCGCATTGGCTGACCAAGATTCACGCAAATTCCGGACTCCTCTTCAATCCAATAACAATTAATTTGAAGAGCGACTTAGATCCAGACCACCAAAATAAGTTTTTTTTTCGACTTTCGCCCGAAGACACACCGAAAAACCAATTTCTTAAAGAGCAAACAACTTGAAGCGTTAAAACTCGCCTAACGGAAAACAACGTGTCACAATCCATAGAACGGGTCGGGAAATAGACGCAGTCCTATGTATCCAACAACTAGACATAAAGTTTGTTATCCTTTTTTTGATACCTTGAATTTTGAGTTATCATTTTATTTTATTTTATGCATATTTGTGCGGTGTCACCCCGTTTGAACCCGATTTGCATTACGGTCCTAACTACTGATTGATCTCGTCTGCCTAAGATCAATTCACAACGTGGGTGGGCAGACTGAGATCAATGCAGTTACTTTGGTAACCAGGCGTTGGAAGCGAGTTGGGAACGACGAGGCTGATATCGAATCTAACCAGATTCCCATCCGAATCACCAAAAGGTTAGAACGTCACATTTGGGTGCCGCGACCGATACCAAGCCAGTTGGTCGTCACAGGACGAGACAACACGACTGACGCGACAGGCGGACGTCACGTTTGGAGCGGCGACACCCGAACGGAGCAGCGAGGAGAGAGCGAAGTCTGTGTTTAGGGACGTCGCAGCTGACGCCGCGACCAAGGACGTCACAGCTGGCGCTGCGGAAAGGACGTCACACTATACAATTTCTGCTCCCTCCTAGCTCTGCAAGGAAACACAAGACATTCATTCTATACTATCTCTGCTCCCTCCTAGCTCTGCAAGGAAACACAAGACTTTTATTCTCTACACTCTCTGCTCCCTCCTAGCTGTGCAAAGTAACACAAGTATTTCATTCTATATTATCACTGCTACCTCCTAGCCCTGCAAAGATACAGAAGACTTTTATTCTATAACATCACTGCTCCCTCGGAGTCCTGCAAAGAAACACAAGACTTTTATTCTATACTAACTCAACTCCCTCCTAGCTCTGCAAAGTAACACGTCTTTTATTATATACAATTTTTGCTTTCTCTTAGCTCTGCAAAGAAACACAAGTGTTTCATTCAATACAATCTCTGCTATATCCTCGCTCTGCAAAGAGACACAACTCATTATTCTATACAATCTCTGCTCCCACCACCCTCTGCAAAGAAACACAAGACATTCGTTCTATAAAATGTCTGCTCTCTCCGAGCTCTGCAAAGAAACACAGTGCACTCATTCTATGCCGTCTCTGCTCCTTCCTAGCTCTGCAAAGAAAAGCAAGTCTTTTATTCTATACAATCTCTGCTCCCTCCTAGCTCTGCAAAGTAACCAAAGTCTTTTATTATATTCAGTTTCTGCTCCATCTTAGCTCTCCAAAAACACAAGAGTTTCATCCTATACAATCTCTACTCCATCCTCGCTTTGCTAAGAAACATACGTCTTTTATTCTATACCATCACTTCTCCTTTCTATCCCTGAAAACAACACAAGATTTTTATTCGGTACCATCTCTGCTCCCTTGTAGCCCTGCAAAGACACACAAGAGTTTTAATTTATACCATCTCTGCTCTCGCCTATCTCTGTAAAGAAACAGAAGTCTTTTATTATATACAATTTCTGCTAAACCTCTTGGCTCTGCAAAGAAACACAAGAGTTTCATTCTATACAATCTCTGCTCCCTCCGAGCTCTGCACAGAGAAACAAGACTTTATTCTATACAATCTCTGCTCCTTCGGAGCTTTGCCAAGAAACGCAAGACATCCATTCTCTACGATATCTGCTCCCTCCTAACTCAGCAAAGCAAGAAATGTTTTTCATTGTATACAATCTTTGCTCTCTCTTAGCTCTGCAAAGAAACCCAAGACTTTCATGCTTAACCATCTCTGTTCCCTTGTAGCTCTGCAAAGAAAAAGAAGTCTTTCATTTAATAAAATCATAGGCTCCCTCCTAGCTCTGCAACGAGACACAAGACTTTTATTCTATACAATGTCTGCTCCCTCCCAGCTCTGCAAATAACGCAAACGTTTCATTCTATACATTCTCTGCTCCCTCCTAGATCTGAAAGTAAACACAAGAGGTTAATTCTATAGAATCTCTGCTCCGTCCTTGCTCTGCAAAGAAACACAAGAGGTTAATTCTATAGAATTTCTGCTCCGTCATTACTCTGCAAAGAAACACAAGAGTTTAATTCTATAGAATCTCTTCTCCGTCCTTGCTCTGCAAAGAAACACAAGAGGTTAATTATATAGAATCTCTGCTCCGTCCTTGCTCTGCAAAGAAACACAAGAGTTTCATTCTATACAATCTCTTCTCCCTCCGAGCTTTGCCAAGAATCGCAGGACATTCATTCTATACCATTTCTGCTCATTCCTAGCTCTGCAAAGAAACGCAAGACATTCATTCTATACAATCTCTGCTCCCTCCTATCTCTGCAAGGAAACACAAGACATTCATTCTATACAGTCTCTGCTCCCTCCTAACTCAGCAAAGCAAGAAATGTTTTTCATTTTATACAATCTCTTCTCTCTCTTCGCTCTGCAAAGAAACCCAAGACTTTCAATCTATACCATCTCTGTTCCCTTGTAGCTCTGCAAAGAAAAAGAAGTCTTTCATTTAATACAATCTCTGCTCCCTCGTAGCTCTGCAAAGAAACACAAGACTTTTATTCTATAGAATCTCTGCTCCGTCCTCGCTCTGCAAAGCAACACATGTCTTTTATTCTATACATTCTCTGCTCCCTCCTAGATCTGAAAGTAAACACAAGAGTTTAATTCTATAGAATCTCTGCTCCGTCCTTGCTCTGCAAAGAAACACAAGAGTTTAATTCTATAGAATCTCTGCTCCGTCCTTGCTCTGCAAAGAAACACAAGAGGTTAATTCTATAGAATCTCTGCTCCGTCCTTGCTCTGCAAAGAAACACAAGAGTTTAATTCTATAGAATTTCTGCTCCGTCCTTGCTCTGTAAAGAAACACAAGAGGTTAATTCTATAGAATCTCTGCTCCGTCCTTGCTCTGCAAAGAAACACAAGAGTTTAATTCTATAGAATTTCTGCTCCGTCCTTGCTCTGCAAAGAAACACAAGAGTTTAATTCTATAGAATCTCTGCTCCGTCCTTGCTCTGCAAAGAAACACAAGAGGTTAATTCTATAGAATCTCTGCTCCGTCCTTGCTCTGCAAAGAAACACAAGAGTTTAATTCTATAGAATCTCTGCTCCGTCCTTGCTCTGCAAAGAAACACAAGAGGTTAATTCTATAGAATCTCTGCTCCGTCCTTGCTCTGCAAAGAAACACAAGAGTTTAATTCTATAGAATTTCTGCTCCGTCATTGCTCTGCAAAGAAACACAAGAGTTTAATTCTATAGAATTTCTGCTCCGTCCTTGCTCTGCAAAGAAACACAAGAGTTTAATTCTATAGAATTTCTGCTCCGTCATTGCTCTGCAAAGAAACACAAGTCTTTTATTATATACAATTTCTGTTCCGTCTTGACTCTGCAAAGAAACACAAGTGTTTCAATCTATACAATCTCTGCTCCCTCCTATCTCTGTAAAGAAACAGAAGTCTTTTTTTCTTTACCATCTCTGCTCCCTGCCAGCTCTGCAACCAATCACAAGAGTTTTATTCAATACCATCTTTGCTCCCTTCTGATCAATCTTTTTGTGAAGATTTGTATAGACTACGCTCTCTGTCACTCGAAGACTAGGACTGCTTGGAATGGAAAACCGCACAGAACGCAAAAGGTAAGGACTGCATTTTCTTCCACAAGACTTCAGGTCTTTTCGTCGATACTAAATTAAAGAAATCGATGGTGAATCATTGTATTTAATATACACAAGGGAGAATATTTTAAGTAAAAAGTACATATAAAGAAGTCTTTAAAATGTGTTGCGAGTGCTGAAATATCACAAACACGCTGAAGCACACTTACTCAATAGAATTTATTCTATATATAAAATTCTGTGATTTCTGTCCGTCCTTCCGTCACACACTGTAGAATACATACACATTGACAGATTGAAACCAAATTTTGGAGAGAAGTGAAAACCAGTAAGTGTGTACAAATTACAGTTAATTTTTCTAGGTTGCGTAGCTTAGTACAATAAATTTTCATTTATTTTGAAAAATTAAAATTTTATTATTTAACAAGATAGTCCCACTATTTAATAACAATTTAATAGTTAAAATAACAAATATTATTTAATGAAGATGAAATATTGTTTTCTGTATATCTTTCTTTAAAATTATTTGTATTATTCGGACTATTGTCCTCATCTTTGTCGCCATATTTATCACAACGTTTCGGCCATTGTACGCTCAGGCCTTCTTCAGGTGGTTGGAATGCCGAATCGAACCCTTTATTTCGCTCACTTGGGTAGACGTGCCATATATAATGGATGTCAGTTATCTCCTGTTAATTTTCACTCTGAAGGTTTTCCACTGCTTTAGACGGGTATTGAAGTCACACTCTTTAGGTTATGACACTGGATCTAAACCAACGCCTTTATCCACTGTGTCATGTGTCCTTGAGGACATCTGTGCATGAATTTCTGGGTATTATAAACCTAATGTCTTCAGCAACCATTTTTACCAGTGCTCATATTGCAATTTTTGCTGTTATCATTTCATGTTTTTACTAGAGCTCATATTGCAACTTTTTGTTGTTATCATTGCTTTTCTCTGGCATTCCTTATTACTGGTTCCCATATTGTATTTATCTTTATGCTTGGTCGGCTCAGGAGATTTTTGTGACCTAGCATATGTGCTGATTCCTTAAGTTTACGAATTTTCCAATGGTGTTCCTTGTTTATGATCTCAACATGATCCCCTTCTCTCTCCATATGTGGTCAGCCACGTCTAATTTTTCACTTCCCCTCGTGTTACTGGTGTTCTTGAAGCCTTACCTTGAGGGGGGAGGCCTGTCTCTCCTTTATATTCCTTTCCGCAGCTTCACGGGATAGCGTACACACAGTCTTTAGTCATGTTCTCCTCTATGGGGGGTCTTACTCCATATAGAGATATCTGCGAAGTGTCGTCAAGCTTTTTGAAGGTTGTCCTGATGTTATATGGATCCTTTGTTTTTCTCTGATAACCCCTTCACATAAGGTAGGCAGACTATTTTCTGAGTGTTCCTGTCCTCCTCCTCTTGTACCTGCTATCCCAGTTTTTAAATCACTTGCCATGTGTACCCAGGGTAGTTGTTACATTGTAGGAATACTACTTATACTGACCAATTCTTTATCTAATGTCTCTGGGTCGCCAGTTATGACTTGCTCGGTGTTGTAAGCAGCGGACGATACGCTGTATGGATGGTGGGAGTTGAAATTGAGGTACTGTCCGGTGAATGTCGGTTTACGGTATACGGATGTCTTAAACCCATGCTCTGTTCGAGCATGTTCTAACTATCTTCCTGGTGTGTGCCAGAGTAGGAAGGTGTCATCTACGAGATACGTTAACCATATAGTTGGCTTTAGAGATATAGATTCTAATGCCATTTCCTCAAAGTATCCCATGTATATTTTCGCCATTGAATGGTGATAATGGCGAATATATTGTGTAAGCCCTCATGCTGTCGTTATATGTGTGATCCCATTCCAGAAGTGTGTTGTTTTGTACAGAAAGTCAACATCGCCATCAGATTATCTATTGAATACTGAAAATAGTTCTTCTAGGGATGAATCAGAGGCCAATCTGTCTCTGACTATTGAGAGTGCCTCTGATTCATCCCTAGAAGAATAGGATCACAAAAATAACTTCAACAACAGTGTGCGGAATTCAACGACGTTAACTTGTTGCAAATAATTGTAATCAGTTGAAATATTTCCGAAAAATTTCCGGAAGGATAATGAATCTTTTCAAATCACAAATACAGATTATGAGAATATGTAGAATAAAATACAGATGTAGATTATGAGTACGTGGAATAAAGAATATATGCCAGATTATGAGAATATGTAGAATGTGTAAATACAGAAATATAAGAATGTGGAAATACAAATACAAAAAAATACAGATTATGAGAATGTGTGAAAATAAATACAGTGGAGAATATCACAGAAAATACAAATCCAAATTATGAGAAATATAGGAATGTGTGGAAATCATAAATACATATCCATAAAATGTCAGAATATGAAATACAGATAAATGAGAAATGTGTGGAAATCATGTAATGGAAACAGAATACAAAATACAGACAGATTATGTGGAAATGAAATACAGAATATAAGAATTTTGGAAATGAAAAATAAAATACAATGTTAGAAATAATAAACCATATAATGAGAATTTGAATGAATGAAAATCACAAATACAAATAAGAATGAGAATATGTGTGTAGAAAATCAAAAATACATATATGTATTTGAATGTGTAGAAATATAAAAAGAATGGAAATCTGAAATAAGGATTATGAGAATGTGTGAAAATCACAAATACAGTTTATGAGAATGAATGAAAATAAATAAAATATAAGATTGATGTGGAAATCATAAATACAGAATATAAATTTTTCAATCATGTGGAAACATAAATACAGAATATAAGAATGTGTAGAAATCCCAAATACATTTTATGAGTATGTGTGGAAATCAGAAAAACAGATTCTGATAAGGTGCGGGAATCACACGTACAGATTATTAGATTGTGTGGAAATCACAATTACAGATTATAAATACAGAATATTGTAGAAATCATAAAATATAAGAATGTGTAAATCATAAATACAGAATATAAGAATGTGTGGAAATCATAAATACAGAATATAAGAATGTGTAGAAATATAAATACAGAATATAAGAATGTGTGGAAATCATAAATACAGAATATAAGAATGTTTGGAATCACAAATACAGAAATTAATATAAGAATGTGTAGAAATCATAAATACAGAATATAAGAATGTGTGAAATCATAAATACAGAATATAAGAATGTGTGGAAATCAAATATAGAATATAAGAATGTGTGGAAATATAAATTAGAAATATAAGATGATGAAAATCATAAATACAGAATATAAGAATGTGTCAAATCATAAATACAGAATATAAGAATGTGTGGAAATCATAAATACAGAATATAAGAATGTTCTGGAAATCATAAATACAGAATATAAGAATGTGTGGGAATCTCAAATACAGTTTATGATCATGCGTAGAAATTACAAATACAGATTAGGAGAATGTGTAGAAATCATAAATACAGAATATAAGAATGTGTAGAAATCAAAATACAGAATATAAGAATGTAGAAATCATAAATACAGAATATAAGAATGTGTAGAAAATCAATATAATGTGTACATAAATACAGAATATAAGAATGTGTAGAAATCATAAATACAGAATATAAGAATGTGTGGAAATCATAAATACAGAATATAAGAATGTGTGGAAATCATAAATACAGAATAAACTATAAATACAGAATGTGTGTGGAAATCATAAATACAGAATATAAGAATGTGTAGAAATCATAAATACAGAATATAAGAATGTGTGGAAATCATAAATACAGAATATAAGAATGTGTGGAAATCATAAATACAGAATATAAGAATGTGTAAAATCATAAATACAGAATATAAGAAT